TGAATATTAAGAAATTACATATAATTCAGTCAAAATTTAAACGAATGTTTGATTTTTGTATAAAATTCATGATTTAATTACTATTGTTGATTTTTTATTCATGTTTATATAATTTTCTTCAATTGATATGCGATTTTACTGATTCAAGATCATCTACTGGGTGTTTTTTTCCTATAAACCTCTTGCATATAGCCATTAAGCACCTACTTGATGACTGGCTCTACCAAGAAGTTCATAGATATTGCTCGTTTCCAAACATTCATTCATTTACTTGTCGTTGAATATTTTTCGTTGTTCAGGAACTTAACAAACAGCCACATTATATTCACAGCGATTAAGAAATACCCAAATATACGTCGTAGAGCTACCAGCAAACCTAAAACCTGCAGAAAAATTAGAAATTTTTCTTTTTTCACTGAGTACATATTCTGGGTTATATTTATATTAGACGTTATTTGAATCACAAAACATATACACTGATTTGATTAACAGCTGATTATCTTCTGGTATTTTAAAACTCACCATATCAACAAGTGACACATAATTCTGCCAACTGTCCAAAATAAACTTTATTAATTCCAAGTCTTATTTTTGTTTTACTGTGCCTGCTTAGATATTCAAATACGGCCAGGAGTTATTAGCGCCTGGCTATTTTAGGCCTTCAATAACTCCTTATTTTAGATCTCTCCTTATTTTGTTTTTTCCACGCATTCATGGTAGAAAGAAAAATATTTTATCGAATATCGATACCGTATACCGTGCAACAGGCACGCCCATCACTACTTTGACAGATTGCAGAATGATGTCAAGGTGACAATCGTTATGTGGCAGTTGTTTTTGTTTTTGTCTGAAATATGCAAGTAGGCTTTGTGTATTCATTTTTATTTTTATAGCGTTTCCAGAATTTCATATTTCGAAACGATGTCAAGAGCCGGCAGGAGAAAATCTTTCTCTGAGAACTGAAAATTATTTCAGTCTATTTTATTCCATCCCTTGGGGAAGTACAGAATGAAGAAAAGACTACAGTGCTCAGTGGCCACTCAGTGGCTCAGTGCTCGTCTGTAATGATAATATTCAAATACTACTAAACACCTAAATAGCTTTCTGGTCTTTCAATTTCGAAGCTACCAGCTTAGAGATAGACTCGGGGTATACGGTTACGGATGTTTATGATTCCTCTTGATATAGATATGTCGTCATGAAACCATCGATGCGTAAAGATCGATGTTCTACGTCCGATGTATCGATGTTTTCGATACACCAATGTATCGTCTATCGTCGCCATCTCTATATTGTATCCCCACAAGTCACCAGTCAAAAACCTTAACCACCAATATTTTATCACTGTTTATAATTCTTTTTAGCTCTTATTTTCCAGTAATTACTAATAATTCTACGTCTATGTCTACAGTAATTGCATTATGCACCTCGGAGATGTAGGGATTAACATGTTTTACACATATCGGTGTTTTAGGATGGGGACGACCATACTGTTTTGATTGCTTTGAATAAATTCATTAACCCAAGAATTTATAACAAATGATTACTACTATGATGTAAAGAGAGATGAGGAATTGGTTGGAATACATTTTGTATTCTATTTTCTTGCAAATCCGCACAATTCAACAGGTATGTGTAGCTATAATGATAACATATACACACAGTATATTGAACTTAACAAATTTCGAGATTGCCATGAATTAAAAAACGAGCAAACCTGCTTCCAAATTTAACAGCTAGAAAATTGACCTATTATTTCTCCCATTCCCATTCGCTGAGGGGATAACGGATGTTCAAATGTACACCTATAACATAAATCAAAATACATGAAAGTTATCCTGCTTTCTCTGTATAAAAGCATCATGTTGGAATCAAAAAGTGGTCTTGTTTATAATACAGTCGAATTTTCACGATTTTATTTAACATTTTAATAGAAATCACTTATATTTTGAGACCTTTGACAGCTTCCGTCAAATTGCATTTCGATAAAGTATTTTCCTATTGGTTCATAATATTAATGTTGGTGAAATCGGCCCTAAACATGTCAAATATCAAGAGCTTACAAAGAATCAAAGAGCTCGTTAATATAACTACTTAACCCAAGAACTAATTGGGCAACTACTATAATAAAACTAAAATTAACAATAAGTAGAGTAACAAAATGATATGAATAATATACTTAAGCAAACAGTGATAGAGTACTTGATATTAATGCATGTCTGTAAGTAATTTTCATTTTTGTTTGGTAGTACTGTCTTTGTCGACACATCTCTATTCCCCTTCCACCTTTTTCAAATGGACAACATTCCGACGGGTTTCTTCCCCTGTATTGTCATTTCTAATTTGTACATCTCCTCCATTCTGGCTCATTACAGTGTATGTAACAGGATTGAACGTTGGTGTAGTTTTGTTCTCTTTTATGAGATTTTTGACGTACACCTTGTTACCTTCTTGAAGAGCTGTATCTGCAGCTCTCCTTTTTTTATCCGCATAAAGTTTCCCTTTTTCCTTCTCTAGTTGGTCTCTGACCTCTTCGTGTGATAACTTATATCGAGTATCTTGAATACTGGGAATGTTATCTCGAAATATTCTATTAAAAAACAGTTCTGATGGCGATTTCTCAGTAACTGAGTGTGGGATGCTGTTGTACATTGCTAGATAATCTAGTAACTCTTGTTTCCAATCCTTTTTCAAGGCGCGGCTTATTTTCAAACGTTTCAAAATATCCCGGTTTTGCCTTTCCACCTCTCCGTTCTGTTGTGGCCAATAGGGTACGGTGTGATAGATTTTTATCTCCCTCTCTTTACATAATTCCTTCATTTCTTTACTCGTGAGTTGCCGTCCATTGTCTGCAGTAATAGATTGTTGGTAGCCAAGACGTGAGAATCCTTCTTCCAACGTTCTTACTGCAAATGTCGAAGTCAAATCCTTAGTAATTTTTATTTCCTTATACCGACTAAAATAGTCTACAACGACGAACAAATAACCTCCACTTGGCAGAGGCCCCATAAAATCTCTTGCTACATCGACCCAGGGAGCTTTTGGTAGCTCCCTCCTCTTGAGAGGATTTGGCACATTAGGTGCTGCCAATAGCGTACATCCTTTACATGTCCTCACCATATTTTCTACATCTTTGTTCATATGTGGCCACCACACTTTTGATCGGAGTCTGTTCTTCAGGGCAACCATACCAGGATGACCCTCATGTGCGGCTCGCAATACAGCTTCTCTTAGTTTTATCGGGATTACAATTCTTGTTCCTCTCAGGAGTATATCTTCGTAGAAACATAGTTCTGTCTCTAGAATTTTCATTTGTTTTACAGAATCGTCCCACTTTCCAGAATTCAACCCCTCTCGTTCCTTTTGTGTTTCCTCATCTTTACATGATTGTAATTTTATCTCATTCATTGGCACTGCTATTGGGCGTAATAATTCGACAATTTGTTGAACATGCTGGTCAGAGTTAACCGTGTCTGTTGTATTTTGTGGCACACATAGTCTAGAAAGGGGATCTGCTATGTTAGATTTTCCTGGTTTATAGACTACCTTGAAACTGAAAGATTGTAATCTTAGGACCCACCTTTCAATTCTAGCACAAGGCTTAGATCTTGGATAAAATATTGCCTCTAAAGGCTTATGATCTGTTACTAAGTAGAATGAGTCTTTCCCAAATAAATAAATCCTGAAGTGTTCTATAGCCCAGACTAATGCAAATGCTTCCTTCTCCGTTTGACAGTACCTTTTCTCGCACTCAATTAAGCTCGTATTCCCAAATGCGATAATTCGAGGACCCTTGTTGTTAATTTGGATAAGTACTGCCCCCAGACCAACAAGGCTAGCATCCGCCATAACCTGCGTCTTTTCTGTTGGATTATAGTATAGTATGTTCTGATACTTGCTAAGCTTCTTTTTAAATCACAAAAGGCGTTATCTTGTTTTGCTGTCCAATACTTTTGAATAGGAGTTTTTTTGGAACATCCTAAACGGCTCTGTTAATGTTGCCAGGTTCGGTATCCATTTACCTACATAATTTACTAGACCTAGAAAACTTTGCACCTCTTCAATAGTATTGGGCTTCCTAAAAGATAATATATTTAATTTAAAGTATGCTCAAAAAAGCTAATTTCCTTTAATCGATACTGACATTTGTGTTCAATATTACATTGTTTTCTTTTAGGGTTTTCAGGGTCTTTTCTAACCTTAGATTATGTTCTTCAAGATCCTTCCCAAAAACGACTATGTCATCGATGAAGTTTCTTGTACCCTCACAACCCGCAAGTATTTTTTCGAGGGTTTTTTGAAATAATTCCGGGGATCAAGTAATACCAAACATTAGTCGTTGATATCGATACAACCCTTTACTTGTTATAAAGGTTGTAATATGTCGACATTCAGGAGCGAGCTCTAACTGGTTGAACGCTTTTTTATGTCTAATCTTAAAAAAATATTGGCATTCCTGAAATTTGGTAGTAGGATATCCATAGTGGGCAATGGATGGTTTTCTCTAATAATTGCTCTGTTTGCTCTACGCGTATCAATGCAAATTCTTATTTCTCCATTTTCCTTTAGAACCGGGACCACTGGAGTCACCCACCTTGAAGGTTCGTTGACTGGTTCTATTATATCGGCTTCTATTAACTCCTTAATTTTATTTTCCACTTTGCTTTCTAGAGGAATAGGTATTCTTCGGTATGGTTGTGATATTGGTGTCACCGAATCATCTATTGGGATATGAATTACAATATCTTTGAATTTAGGAAATTGCTCTATATTATTTATGTGCAATCCTGTCTTTAAAATTTCCAGAGCTACGGCCGTATTTTTACCAATTAGGTATTTTGTTCCCTCTTTTATAACAGAAAACGTACCATTTTCCAGATTGGAACCTACGCGTATTTCTGCTTGAAATGAGCCCCTAGGTTTTAGGGGGTCTTTGATACCACAGGCAAAAAGATCTTATCGGGGTTCCTTACTTGGTTGAATACTTTAACTTTATTTTGTTACATATACTCCCAAGTCTTATCCGTTATCACATTGCCTTTGTTGCGCGAATCAATCACCATTCTTACTAATACGTTCCCAGTATTATAGGGGATTTCTGTGTCATCGTCAATTTGAAACACATATTCGGAATCCCGGGTTGGACATGACTCGTCCTGATCTGAATCTGCGTCTACGTAGTTGAAACACTCTTGATTTTTCCCATTATTTGGTTTGGAAGAAAAGTCATATTTTCTTTTATAACCCCTCCGTAGCCCCGTATTCAGCAGAGTACGAAACTGTTTCTTATAATGGCCTAATTTACCACATTTCAAACACTTTTTATCCATTGCTGGACATTAAAACGCGGTGATTAAAACCTCCGCATCTTCTGCATATGTTAAAATGGTTCTTTTCTTGTTTACTTGCTGTTGGCCTAGACTGAATTTTATTAATTTCTTGAAATGAAGTTGTACTAAAGCCCTTCAGATCCCTATCTATAGATTCTAAAGGGTTTGCCTCGGCAACAATGGTATCTAAATTTACAGTGTCCCCTAAAGCTAATATTTTTTTCTTAATTCTTGAGAATAACATTTCCCTACAATCTGTTCAATTAAATGTTCTTCAACATTAGAAAATTTGCACTTAGCACTCTGAACTCTTAACCTACCTAAGAACTTGTCAAAAGTTTCATCAGACTCTTGTTTTATTTTGCGAAAAATGTACCTTTCATATAACTTGCTCTATTTGGGTTTGAAATATTCGTCCAGCTTTTGCACAGCAACGAAAAAAACATCGTTATCGTCTTGCGGTTCATCGACGTGGGCCCCTGGAATGCTGTGGTATATTTTCTGTAAGGGCAGTCCACCGGAGTGAAGAAGCATAGCTCTTTTCTTTTTTGGACCTTCCACACAGGGCTCACCCTCACAGTCAAAAGTTTCTATGGCAGGTAGTCCACTCATTTTTCCTAAAAAGTATACACATACGTGTATATATACGCATTTTTTCCTTTATTCAGAATTCAGGGCTTAACCTTTTATTTACATATCAGGGCTTACCCTCAATTATTTTTTCCTATAACTTTATTTTAAATCCAGGTCTTAACCTTTTATTTATTTTATCAGGGCTTAACCTCAATTATCTTTTTTTTATATACCTTATAGAAAATCTAGGTCTAAACTACGCATTTCTTTATACAGGGTGACTTCGAAGTTGAGTCATTTATTTTAACAGTGAGTAGATCTGATCAAAAGAAATGTTTTTTTCCTTTACCATTTTTCTGGTAAAATTAAAGTAACAAAGTTATAGCCCTTTGGAAGTTTGAGTACCGCCCTGTTCAGTAATACTCGTAATATCATGTGCTCGTGTTTGGCAACAACGGATATAATCCGCCTCGGTTCATCGCATCGGAAACAAAAAAGCGAAAGAATTTGGAACGATGTTTTACAATTATTTTCTTCAGTTCAGTTATACATACAGTCAGTGTCAGTCGGTAAGGCATGTGAATAGTGTCTGTTGCGTGGCTCAAACGAAATAAAAAATGGCACATGTTTATGCGGATCGGTTTCCCAATCGAGTGCAACCAACCCCTCGTGCCTTTGTTAATGTAGTACAACGGGCTCGTGAATCAAGTGACTTAAGACCTCACAGGAGACCTCACGATCAAATACAGGTCCGCACTGAAATACTTGTCGGGAGGATACTTTATAAAACAAGGTAAACATTTTTTTTTTAATTTTTTTCTTATTTTTACACACATATTTTGGTTTATCTTCCTTCTACAATCATTATCTGAAAATTAATGACTCAACTTCAAAGTCACCCTGTATATATATATACTATCAGTGATATACTTTTTTAAATCTTTTAATGACTAGGTCTTAACCTCCAACATGCAACAACAACAATAAATTATTATTAATATTATTCAAGTTTTCCAGCAGTGTATTATAATGCTACGGTGAAATATTCGTAATATAAATATATCATAAAAAAAGTTCTAGACTCATTGATTTCGGATGTAGCTTATTTACCTAAAAACTCCAAATATTTACACATACTACACGCACTGCTGAACCGATATTGATGAAAATTTTCTAAATAACTTACCTGGGGTTTTCCAAAAATCAACACATTTAGAGGTAATATCGAAATAATTAACTATCCACAAACAAAGCCAATGGAGGATGCTTCTTTGTATTTCATTTATTTTCTCTTATTAACGTTATATTCACCTTCTTTGAGTATTTTTTTGATGATTCAATTGATGTACAATAACATGGAAACTAGAATCCACTAAATTTGACTTTCCAGACCAACTTAAAATTGAGTCAAAGATTAACAAAGGACTATGCTAAAAATGCTGGATCTGGACCTGTATATTTTATCTACATCATCCATTGTACTTTTTCATGTAAAATAATAAATATGAGAGCATGAGTTCCGTCTCAGGACGTTGCACATATTAAAATAGAAAGAAATGAAAAATCTCCAACTATGAGATTTCGACTTTTCATAACACCTCAAGTTCAATTTAGAAAAAAGATATTTAAATAGATAAAGATGTTGATTAGAAGGTCAAGAGAAGCGCAATCAATCCAATTTGCAAATTAATAAGCACCATTCATTGGCGCTTTTGTGCATAGTCAAATATTTCAATATTCATCTTAAAATGTGTAAGAAAGTTGAAAACATCGAGTCCGGCCCTGGATCTTTCAACTAAGAATATATTATTTTCATCAAACTTCTCGGTCTGATGTCTTGCTGCATAGGCACTTCCATATTCTGCACATTATTTATATTCTAATAAGAGAGACAATAATCACCGCTGGCCTCGAGATAAAGAAACAACACCTATAAGAGTTGTTAAATTGGGTACTGCAAATGACGAGGGATGAAGTGCAATCCACCGGTAGGTGAGAAAACTCATGGAGTCGCAAGATACTAACCGGATAGTACTTAAATTTAAGCAATTTGGCAAACACCGGATAACAAAAGAAACTTTGCGTAACAGGCGGCCACTTCCTTCAAACCAACACCACAAGATGCGGGTGGATCAACTAAAATCTTAAACTTAATTGGCTTTGCTGTTGAAAAAAGACGACGGAGTAAATGGTTCGCAAACACGATTAAGCTTTAATTCAGTTCTTAGAACACGTACAAAATGACTTCTTTAATTAGTTTGTGTACTAAACTTACCCGATTATGTCAACCCATCTAATTCTCTCTTCTAAATGAATTCTGCTTTGTAGGACTTATAGAACAGATATTGGGGATCAGCTCTTGTTTATTTCCCTGACTTACTCATCTGGATACCGGAGGGTGTTATTGCTTCCGAATTTTCTGAGGATCTGAGTTAAAACAGCTTGCGTAGATCAGTGATTATAAGTGACACTTTGGACTGGCAATAACAATGTCGGATTTACAGAACAGACATTGAGGATCAGCTCTTATTTATTTCCCTGGTCTACTCATCTGGCTACCGGATGGTGATAATAAACACTTTGAACTGACAATGACGATCTTCAACACTACCCCACGTCTGTTGCTAAAGCAAGCTAAGCTACTGTGCTTTACAGAAGCATCGCTTAGTATCGAATGGTTACAATATGACCTTTATTATGGGTACTTCAAAAATATGAAGCTGGATATAAGTAATCTGAAAATTTGCACGCAGGTTTTTTCAGTCACTGCCGACGAATAATTCATCAGAATTACTATATTTCCAAGATGTCAGAACTATATTGGATTCAGTACCCTAATCAATAAAAACTGCTTTTAAACAAGTATTTTCAATGGTGGCTGAACTTCATCGATGTTAAATAAAAGTACTACATTTTTGTTCACAAAAGTACCAATATCTTGAGATGGCTAAAGCCGATCTCCAGCATCGTTCTTAGTGGCCTCTAACACCGTAGGAGAGACCCACAGAACCTTCTTATAGAAACTTTCTACAATATTTTTCTGTTATCTATGCACCCGCAAGACTGATTTTGAGACGACTTGTATAAGAAATCACGTGAAATGGTACATTACATACCTAGGCTACGCATCTCAGAATATTCAAGTATTCGACAAAAAATTACCTTCTCCACTAAGGTTGTTATATATTATATATACAGTGAGTCCCAGATTCGCCTCCCTATACAGGGATATCGGCTCCTGTTGTACCTATAGCAAAGGTTAAATGGGAAAAGTTTTAAAGAAAACTTAGTGAATTCGATATCAGGCTTCAGATTTACGATTCTGTCAATTGGTTTTGGAAATACACACTCATAGTTGGTAATTTGTCCCAAAACATTTGACTTGTAGAGAAGACGATATTAACGTTAATATTCTATTGAAAATTCAAGGCATTTATGTGTTTTTATGGGTTACTGATTCATGTTATTTTCTGACAAATGAATTGTGGCCTCCTTGGAAAAAACTAACACATAACATAACGTGTGATGATATTTCGGTGATACTCCAATATTTTATGCACTTGTGAGACATAACTATTTTGGAAATCTTACACACTCTTCAAAAATCGAAAAATCTAATATAGCGGCTATAAGAAGTTATTATTATTATTATTATTATTAAACAACAAATTTGAGTTGAGTACAAGTACTATAAACTCAAACACAAAAATAGATAATAGTGTACAGACAAAAGAAATATAACAATTTGACAATCTTAGCACTTCTGAAGTAGACATATACAGAATGGGAACAATATGTTAAGCACTGCGGTGTCTATCGTAATTGTTTTTGAAACTGTTGACGGATTCCGAGTTCACTACATAAGATGGAAGACTGTTCCATGCATCGAAGACACGGTTTGAGATGAAGCGCTGACGAGTAGAGGTTCTAAAAGCTTCCTTCTGCAATTTGAAGTTATGGCCTCTGAGACTGTTCGTTGCCAGACGAAACAGATGCGACATGTCCACACCAAACAAATTATGCAGTGCTCTGAAAGTGATGATGAGATCTCCTCGTACTCTTCTATCAGCAAAAGCAGGCAGCTTATATAGCTCGAGGTGGTCTTCATAACTTGGCCTACGTGTGCCATATGGCATACGTGTAGCACGACGCTGAACGGCCTCTAATAAGCTGCTATCGCGAACAAGGTTTGAATCCCATACCGGACCAGCAAACTCCAGTATGGGTCGTACGAAAGTTGTGTACAAAAGGAGGAGGTACTAACGGTGCAACCGCTAAATGACCTTTCCATCATATATAGCAACCGCTTTGCCTTAGAGGCTATGTTCTGAATGTGCTCCGACCAGGTGAGCCGGCCATTAACTGTCAGACCAAGATCTGTGTGATGAAGAACAGTCTCTAAGGTATGTTTGCCAATCTTATATGTTAAGTTAGGATTATTCTTTCCCAGGTGGAGAACGTAGCATTTCGATAGATTTAAAGGCAGGAGCCAGAGTTCTGACCACTTTCTGATCAGCTTGAGGTCTTCTTGAAGCACAGATGAGTTCATGACAGTGTTATAGACTTTAGTATCATCTGCATAGATGGAACACATAGAATAAAGTCGGGTGGGAAGGTCGCTTGTATAAAGAAGAAAAAGTATTGGCCCTAGCACAGATCCTTGTGGAACTCCACTAGTAACACGATGACTAGAAGAATAGGCGTCTCCAACACGGACGGAGAAAGATCTGTCTAACAAAAAAGCTTCAATCCATAACAACAAATTTCCCCTGATTCCGAGATGTTCAAGCTTGTGCAGGAGCCTTTTATGCGGAACTCGATCGAAAGCTCTGGAAAAATCCAGAAAAACCACGTCGACCGTGTTGAGGCAGGTTGCGCGAAAAAAAAGATGATTGAGACATGTCATACACTCTATCTGTTTGCCTTAAAAGATGTCACATTTTGGCAGACGTCAAATTAACCGTTTCGGATTTACTCGCAAAAAACAAAATCGACATTTTCGGTTTTTCGCTGATATTTTCAAAACCAATTGACTGATC